ACGGTAGCCTGTTATGCTTTACTTTTTAGAATATAAATAACTCTCTTTAAAACAACTCTGTTCTGCTTAACTTAAAATTGTATAAATTAATAGAAAACAACAGAAAGAGCAACGCTGTAACTGCACATTGAGTGCAATTAGAAAAGTGCAAACAGAAAGTCTGTGGAGAAGCTGTAAACATATTTGTGCCTCAAAGGCCTTGACTGTAGCCTACGGTTGGAAGTAAAAAAAAAAAAAAAGTCCAAACTCATGAACTCAAAAGCTCAATGCTACATTATGTGAAAACAGACTATTTTCTCCATTTGTATTTCTTTTGAGATCTTGCTGCATTTAGGAGTTGTCTTTCAGTACTGCAGAGTAAAACTCTGAGCAAAACATGTCACAATTTAGAGTGACAATGAGCTCACATCTAATTATTTCAGTAGAACATTTGTTCCGCACATCAGTCCACTTATTCTTCATGAGAGAGAAAATCCTCTCTGCCAATCCAGTGGAAGACGGGATGCTGAGTACAAACGATACAACAGGCTGGATGTTGGAGAGGTCAGCTGCCTGAAGAATTTCTATACACTTCTCTGCTGTTCCCTTGGACTGCCACTTTTCCTTCTCCTGAGGTCCTTTGGTGAGGGGCTCCAGAAGGCTGGTTGCAGTGACACACTCGTCATAAAGCTCATCCATAGAGATGTTTAACCTGCCAATGGAGATAAGAAGTAAACCTGGGTTATAAGCACCACATAGAACACTTACAGTGGTAAATAAATGGAAAACATTTATTGTATATTTATTACATTGTATAGCTTTTATACAATACAATAGTTCACTTTATTTATTATGTATTTATCCATCCTTTTAGTTTAAAATTATCCAAACAACATATAAACCAAGACAAGGCTACATCGAAACTAAACACCCAAGTTAAAAAAAAATAGAAAAACTAATGACAAAACAGAAACAGACCACAAAAATAATAAAAATAATAGTAAACAAGCCCCAACACAGTGGGTTTTTTTCTTCATATAAATACCTTCACTTTAACCAGAGGGTTTAAAAAAGCAATGTTTACTTACCATATCTGCTTCTGCCGTGGCCTTGTGGACGACAAACTGATCGAGGGTTCCCCGTAATTTCACGTCCTTTATGTTTTTCATGTGGCTACTACTAGACGCATGTTGCTTGAGGTCAGTGAGTCCACCATGCCCTTTGGAAAAACTGCGCCGGTACACGGTGCAGTGCGCTTTATAGGTGTTATCGCGCAGTTTTTCCAGCCAGGAATTTTCCTTTTCCCATTCCTCCCTGTATTTTTGAAGCCTTTTTTCTTCTTTCTCGGAGGGGTACTGTCGTCCGAGACTTGTACAGCAGTGTCGGCGTTAGTTTCCCGGTTGGCCGTGCTGTTTGCTGTCGTCTGTTTTCTTCCGGTATCTTCTCCCCAAGCGACCGTTCCTCGACCAATGAAATAAGCGGTAATCTGTATCGTCATATTCGTGTGTAAGCATGCGGCCAGTTCATTGGTCACAGAGCAGGCGAAGGGCTGGCTTTCAAACAAAGCGTTAATTCCGGTAATAGACTACAGACTAATTTTGATCCATACTATATTACGGGACAAAGTGCGTCCCTTTTGAGTTCAATACGGGACGTGCACTTGTGTTTCTAAATACGGGACGATTCCGTTTTTCAAGGGACGGTTTGCAACCCTAATCCAAACACAAGTATAGAAAGGTTTAATTAGAGAAAAACACGTTGTAGTTCTTCACAAAAGCACAATGGCCACAAATCCGTGAAGTGGAGAAAACCCAGAAACCCAAAGTCTAATTATTGAAATTTTCTCTGGACTTTTAGTCAATTCTAATGGTTTTTATAAGATAAATAACGGAAGTCTGGTCAGGTCACATGACACCTTCTTACTGATGATTTAGAAGAAACAATTGCTGGGGTGGGAAAACTCAACTCAACTGTGTGTATGTGTGTGTGTGTTTCTAACCCGGCTTCTGTTTCCAGATATTTGATGGCAATGATGAAATACATCCTGGTAACCGGTGGCGTCATTTCTGGAATTGGTAAAGGCATCATTGCTAGCAGCGTTGGCACGATTCTCAAGTCATGCGGTTTGCGTGTAACAGCCATCAAGATCGACCCGTACATCAACATAGATGCAGGCACCTTTTCGCCCTATGAGCATGGTACGTGGGAGGAAATCATCGGCAGACGGAGCACATTTTTGATCAAAACAGCTGCATGACCGTGCCTCATTGATCGTGTCTAGGTGAAGTGTTTGTGCTTGATGACGGTGGGGAGGTGGACTTGGACCTAGGGAACTATGAGCGCTTCCTTGACATTCGACTGACGAGGGACAACAACCTGACCACTGGGAAGATCTATCAGTCCGTCATCAACAAGGAGAGGCGGGGAGACTACCTGGGCAAGACTGTGCAGGGTAAGGTCAACATCAATAAGTGACTAACGTGAATGTACATTTTAGCACTAACCAACAAATAAAGTTGGCGTAAGACTCACATAACCCTTTGAACAAACTGCCTACTAAAATGTAGTTAATTGGATTAAAATCTAAAATACAAAAACTCGGTATTGTCTTCTGCAGTGGTGCCACACATCACCGATGCCATCCAGGAATGGGTTGTGAAACAAGCCAAAGTGCCCGTCGATGGCGATGAGACAGAGCCTCAAGTGTGTGTGATAGAGGTAAGCTGGATGGATGACCCGAGACTACGTACTCGTGAATACGTTCGCACAGTCCAATAAGCTGTGTCTGTTTCTGGTGATCCTGTTCAACGTGGTGGTGGGTGTCTTTATTTGGTCAACTCAGTAAAAAGTTGGTATTCATACCAGATGAGGAATCACAACCAGGAATCTGAAGCTGCGTCTTTGGACTCAACGGGAGAAAAAACTACAGTCATGGCTGACCGATAACTGATATCACAGCCAAACCTGCAACGAGAACGTGTCAAGAACACGCTCAGAGCACTTGTTTTATTTTTTACCAGATTCAAGGGTTGAGTTACTTGTTCATCTGGTTCAACAAACGACGTGTCATACTCACCGCTACAAACGGGGCAGTCCTGATACACGTCATCAAAGAAGATGCAAACACATCTTTTTTCTACACAAAGGACTTAAGTAAAGAAATGCCCAAATGAGCCGTTGCCATCTTGGTTTTTTTCCACTCAATCGCAGTAAAATCCTCCCACCAAACCGATGGAGTGCTGTGATTGGTAAAGCCGGGCGTACACTGTGCGACTTTTTCACTCGTAGCACTCGGCTTCAGCTCAAACTGTACGACTTCCTCGCAGGGCAGATCTCACGAGTCATGTGCTCACACTGCACGACCCAGTTCTCGCATGCGACCTGACTGCTCACACTGTACGTCTGGTAGCAACACGTCGGACCTAAAAATATGCTAAAGATAGCAGTTTTTACACAACACGTCAGACTTTCTTGTTTTGCCTGTTGTCCTTCAGGAGTGCTGCAGGAGGACACACAGGGGTTTATGGGGGTTGGATGAGGAAAACGAAATAAAGAAAGTGAATCTGTGTTTTGTGATCAGTTTAATTTGACACGAACACGACAAACACGCTTTCTTGACAATCTTTGTGAGTAAAAAAAACGTGTAGAAATAAAAACGAACAGCGTGTGTTATTAGGGAAATAGCGGGCGAGTGGTGTAGATGCAGGATTGCGCATGCGCCGTGAGCGGTTCTGATACTTTTTGGGTCGCAGCTGCTCGCAGCGCCGCTTCAACAGTGCGATACCCTCACGAGGGACGAGCAAAATATTAAACACGCCAGAAGTCCGTGTGAGCTCACGACTGCTGATCGGCAGCTGGTCACGTGGTGTTAATCGCCTCTCGTAACCCCCCGTACACTACACGACTGCTCGGCGCTAAACTCGCCCCGATGTCGTGGATTCTCGCACGAGTGGAAAATCGGCTCAAAAAAGTGAGAAAGTCATAGAGTGTACGCCCGGCTTTAGACGCCAAACTGCTCCGGCCGATGGTAGGCTCACTGGGGCTAGACCAACATGCAGAGGAAATCCATTTTCTTTTGCTACAGTCTGTCCAGATTTCTAGGCTGTGTGTGTTGGAGCAGGGGAACAACTAAAACATGCTGGATAGGAGCACCCTAAAGCAGGCTTGTGCACCCCTGGTGTAACACCTAAAGTGTGCAGGGTGAAGGTGAACCAGGTGGGCCGGCCGGGTAGCTGCTGCAGGAGTCAGCGCACAGGAACAGTTCTGATGCTCGGAATGGAAACTTCTAGAACAATCTCTCTGAGATCAGAGTCTGTGGTACTCGCTAGAAAATAACGCAGGTGTGGTTTTTGTGTGTATCGCTTGTTTCTGTTGTCATAGTGATGGCTTGTGTTTGCAGCTAGGAGGCACTGTTGGAGACATTGAGAGCATGCCTTTCGTTGAGGCCTTCAGGCAGTTCCAGTTTAAAGTGAAGAGAGAGAACTTCTGTAACATCCATGTCAGTCTGATACCACAGGTAAGACCTGCCCCCCTTTAGTCTGATACCACAGGTAAGACCTGCCCCCCTTTAGTCTGATACCACAGGTAAGACCTGCCCCCCTTTAGTCTGATACCACAGGTAAGACCTGCCCCCCTTTAGTCTGATACCACAGGTAAGACCTGCCCCCCTTTAGTCTGATGCTTTGGTCTCTAGAAGACATTCATGGAGCATTCATTGAAAGCTTTCTAAGTGTCCGTTTCTTGTTGCCGTTGCCAGCCCAGCGCCACGGGAGAGCAGAAGACCAAACCAACACAGAACAGTGTGAGGGAGTTGAGAGGTTTGGGTCTTTCTCCTGACCTGGTGAGTTCATGGGTCCTTCATTCAGAGTGTGGTGTTTAGCCTCTATAAAAACATACCACTGACCCAAACTGCATCCATTTTATTTACTCTGAAGTTCCTGTTGGGTATGTGTGTGTTGTGTTGGAAGGTAATAACGTTGGCTGATCGGATGAATTACTCGGCCGTTGGCGATTGGCCGAGTCTTGCTGACTGGACATTACAAACTTCTTCTTTTATGTAACTTTCTCTGTTAGCTTCATTTAAACACTAGGATTGTTATGGTTCCAATGATAAACGGCAATCAAGGATTCAACATAACCGTAGACACAGGAAACAGTTTAGTCAAACCAGAGTCTAACTCACCGTTTGGATCCTCAAATCTCTGGCAGAACCGAGCCGACTCCAACAAAACGGGTCTTTTTACATTAAGAAGTCCAGAAAAAGCTGCTGTTGTGTCCTTGGCCAATGGTGATGGCAGCCTCGCCTCTCAGACCGTTGCAGGGAGGTTGTGGCTGCCATCACCAGCAGAGTGTGAGTGTGTGAATAATAAAAAGCACTTGCCTAAAAAAGCGCTATATAAATCGAATCCATTATTATTATTATTATTATTATTATTATTATTATTATTATAGCACAAACCAATAGCCCAGGCATTATCTATTGGCTGACAGGTCAGACGCACCACCCTCTATCATCGTGTGGGTAGTGTGAACCAGCTGCAGTTCAGGTTTTAGTTGATCGATGCGTCGAATAGCTGCTGAAATTCAGCAACAACCAAATCTAGCGCGTAGTCACTGTGGCCTGCTGTGATTGGTGGAAGGCTCCATGCGGTGTGTCAGGCCCACAGGATGTAGGAACGTGTCCTGTGTGAATATTTCACCCTTCGTCATCGTTTGGACTGACGAGTATTAGATCACATGTAATGTATGTATCGCCCAACCTTAGAAGCTCGTTTCACCCAAACAATAAAAACAAAATCTAGAGCAACAAATGTGATTCATTATTTTCATCCTTTTACATTTTCTTTTCCCGTTTTTGCTGACAGATCATGTGCCGCTGCACCACTGCTCTGGAGAACTCTGTCAAAGAGAAGATCTCGATGTTCTGCCATGTAGAACCTCAGCAGGTAGATGACACGCACCCTCAAGCCTGTAGCAGGTCTGCGTCTCCACGCTCTGTGACTCTAAACCATCTGACTTGTCTCGTTGCAGGTCATCTGTGTGCACGATGTTTTATCCATCTACAGAGTCCCGTTACTGCTGGAGGACCAGGGTGTGGTAGGCTACCTGAGCAGGAGGTTAAACATGCCCATCGAGACTAAATCCAGACAGATGCTCACTAAGTGGAAGGAGATGTCAGACAGGTGAGACGACTGATGTAATCCGTGGACTTGAGAGGTCAGCTGATCGACTAATGTCCGTGTTGTTGCTGAAGGTCGGACAGGCTGCTGGAGCAGTGCTCCATCGCTCTGGTGGGGAAGTACACCAAGTTCTCCGACTCCTACGCCTCAGTCATAAAGGCTCTGGAGCACTCGGCGCTGGCCATCAACCATAAACTAGAAGTTAAGGTTTGTAAATCAACTGTGCATAAAATGAAAGAAAGCTTGTTTAATTTATTGCCTCTAAGCTCAACTGTTGTGAAATGCAGCAGCGAGTGTTTTCCTTTCTGTAAGTTCGGTCACACTCTGAGGTTGTGCGAGGCTGAGTCCGACCCAGGATCCTTATTGGTTCCTCTATGAGTGGTCAGACCGTGGCGGTAATCTGGCGCAATCATATCCTTTTAACAAAAGATTATGCAATGGCACCACCACCCTCCGTTGAGCCAAGACCTAATATGCTGTCATAAGTCGGGCGTTGTGGCAACATCACCACCAGGCTTGGTGGAACGAAGACCGCAAAATGGCCGCGTTGTCGTGCTGCCATGGCGCTTTCTTCAGACACGATGTGGAGGCAGTGTCACGCTGATCAGTCGGCACAACGTGTCTTCTACAAAGGGCTTCAGCTACTTGCACGGCATCAGCACACGGGCGAAATCTACGGTTACGTTTCAAACTGTTGCGACTGGACCGCGCTTTGGCCAATCAGAGCAATGAACAACATGGGCAGCAGTAGCTCAGGAGGTAGAGCTGTTGGTCCGCTTATCGGAAGGTTGTAGGTTCGATCCCGGCTCCCGTCAGAGAATGCTTCTGTTGTGTTCTTCTGAAGACGCCTAACTCGCCTGGCCTGCTGCTGCTGGTGGGAGAGACCGGTGGCGCCTGCGTTCGGCAGTCTGGCTTCCGTCAGCGAGCCCCAGGGCAGCTGTGGCTACGTTGTAGCTCACCACAAGAAGTGTGTGAATGGCATGTTGTTGTTGTGAACAAGGCACCATACGAGGACAGATCATGTATGTACTCACCGTTACGGATTTCAGTCAACAAGGCGGTCCACCATGAGCAGGCTTGAGTACATCTATCTGCTCTGGACTCAGAACAACTCAAGTCTAAATCCTCCAGAGCCGACGCCATTTTAGTAGTTTTCTCCATCGCAGGGTTATGCCTGTTTAATAAACCGAGCGCTATGATTGGCCAGACAGAGCTGTTTATGGTAGACCTGCTGATGCTACAATGGAGCATAGCTAGACCGACCTGCAGAGCAAAATCCTTTTTCTGTGGTTGTTCTAGACTCCATACCACACAGATAATTACTTGATTTATTTTATTTTATTTAGTGTTTTTTCCTGTTAGTACATAGATTCTGCGTATTTGGAGCCGAGCACGCTGCAGGAAGAGCCGGTGAAGTATCACGAGGCATGGCAGAAGCTCTGCAGCGCCGAGTGAGTTCTACAAAGACGATATCGTCATTTATTCTGTGAAGCGGCATTTTTCTCACTCTGACCTTTTGTCCTGTTGGCAGTGGTGTCCTTGTTCCTGGAGGTTTTGGTGTCAGAGGAACAGAAGGGAAGATTCATGCCATCAACTGGGCCAGGAAACAGAAAAAACCCTTCCTAGGTAGAGAATAGCCACGGGGATTATTCTGTATCTACATTTGTCTTTGAACTATTCTCATCAAATAGAACTAAACTGTCCCACATAAGTAACAGGAGATGGCTGGTACGGGTCTTTCTGCAGGTGTGTGTCTCGGGATGCAGCTGGCTGTGTGTGAGTTTGCAAGGAACACCTTGGGGTGGACAGGTAAGCCCCAGTAGCTGCTGCTTCTCACATCTCGCTTTCTAAAGCCGGGCGGACGCTGTGTGACTTTTTCACTCGTAGCACTCGGCTTCAGCTCAAACTGTACGACTTCCTCGCAGGGCAGATCTCACGAGTCATGTGCTCACACTGTACGACCCGGTTCTCGGATGCGACCTGACTGCTCACACTGCACGTCTGGTAGCAACATGTCGGCCCTAAAAATGTGCTAAAAATAGCAGTTTTTACTCAACACGTCAGACTGTTTTGTCTTGTCTTGCCTGTTGTCCTTCGGGAGTGCTGCAGGAGGACACACAGGGATTTATGGGGGTTGGATGAGGAAAACGAAATAAAGAAAGTAAATCTGTGTTTTGTGATCAGTTTAATTTGACATGAACACGACAAACACGCTTTCTTGACAATCTTTGTGAGTAAAAAACGTGTAGAAACAAAAACGAACAGCGTGTGTTATTAGGGACATAGCGGGGAGCGACGTTGATGCAGGATTGTGCATGCGCCGTGAGCGGTTCTGATACATTTTGGGTCGCAGCGCCGCTTCAACAGTGCGATACCCTCACGAGGGATGAGCAAAATATTAAACACGCCAGAAGTCTGTGCGAGCTCACGACTGCTGATCGGCAGCTGGTCACATGGTGTTAATCGCCTCTCGTAACCCCCTGTACACTACACGACCGCTTGGCGCAAAACTCGCCCCGATCTCATGGATTCTCACACGAGTGGAAAATCGGCTCAAAAAAGTGAGAAAGTCACACAGTGTACACCCGGCTTTAGGTTGGGTCAACTTGTTCGTTGCTCCCAAAGCTCTAACTGTTGGTATAAATGGAGCCAACACACTGCTGCCTCCATGATGGACTCATTAAGCAGCCCAACAGGAGCGTGAGCTCCGAATCAGTCGACTTAACCTGAGCCTTGGTGCCATGACAACCAGAGGATATATTTGGTGGATGAACCATTTAAACTGCATGAATAGTAATCAGTCCTGATGAAAGGCTGCTAGATTTAACTGATCCTGATGTCTTCCTATTTTTCACATGCAGATGCAAACTCTACTGAATTTGACCCAGAATCAAAGCATCCTGTGGTAGGTTTGCTCAGGCGTTGTCTCTCTCCTACACACTCCAGAGTGTTTTAATTGGGCTTTGTTTTATTGCCTCTCAGGTGATCGATATGCCAGAACACAACCCTGGGCAGATGGGTGGCACAATGAGGCTAGGAAAGAGACGGACTATATTCAAATCCAGCAACAGTGTTCTGAGTGAGAGAAGCCTCCAGCTAATGCCGAGAGACGCTGTAGATGTTGTGCTCAGACCTGCCTGCTCTGTGTTTCAGGAAGACTTTATGGAGATGCTGATTATGTTGACGAGAGGCACAGACACCGCTTTGAGGTAAAACTCGCCACTCACTCAGCTGAACATCACATAAGATGAGGAAAATGGGCAGATTTATTTTTTGTGTTGTGTTGCAAGGTCAACCCAGAGCTGAAGAACCACTTTGAGGAGAAAGGTTTCCGGTTTGTTGGTCAGGATGTGGAAGGAGAGAGGATGGAGGTCATCGAGCTGGATGGTAAGGAGTCCAGTGGATCTGACCTTTCTGTGTAAAGGTTCTAAACTGTTCTGACTAGAAATGTTCCTGATCAGTCTCCATTTACTAAAGAGTTTACATCTAATAGGATATTCATCATCATCATCATCATCACTTTATTTATATAGCACCTTCCAACTGCCCAAAGGCAAACCGAAGTGCTGTACATTAGGGATGCACCGATGGATCGGCATTTGATCCCAATCGGCCGATAGCGCCCCTATCGGTTTTGATCGGAGTTTCAAAATAGATCAAAGCAGACCGATCAGGTAGGGTTGTCACGGTAACCGGTGTAGCGGTAAACCCCGGTAAAAAAAAAGTTGACAATAATAATAACCGTCATGTTTTTAAAAAAAACTATATTATCTCGGTGGATTACCGTGGCTGCGGTGTAGGCGCGGTGACCCTTACCAGCCACCGTATCTGCTGCTGAAGTTGCCGGCGGCACATGCGCACTTTGTTGTTTACAACCAAAACTTTCTTGAAGCTAAAGCTGAAATAATGGCCAAAGGAGGAGACGGCAGCACTCAGGACATTTATTATCCCTCAAAGAAGACAAAGTGGGAAGTACGGGCATCTTTTGGATATTTGAAGAATGCCGAGGGACAGCTGATAGAAGACGGCTATCCTGTTTGCAGCACGTGCAGAAAAAGTGTCTGTGAAAGGCAGCAACGCTTCAAATCTCATGACACATCTGCGTGACCAGATCCGAGGATCACGCATTTTAGCTAAAACACTAACGTTAGCTTGCCTTGCGTTGACTGTAGAGTTGTGGGTTGAGGGAGAATGCAACGAGTCGCTATATAAAGCAGCCGCAGCGCCGCTACATGCATATAAACCGTGTCGCGGACACCGCCATGTTGAAATGACGCTACGCATTACGGGGCTCCCGGGGGGGGGGGGGGGGGGGGGGGCTATAGCTACCCCTGGATTAGTCATTGCACCCCAGTAGCACCCCCAATATTAATTTTTTTTTTTTTTTACAATTGAATTTTAATTTAACGTGTGGATGTGATATTTAACATACAAAACAAAATAATCAGTAAATTATATGGATAGTAAAAACTTAAACCAAAACAGGAAATTGATGTTAACCTTTGATCTCATTTTCCACCTGCGAACGAGTGAAAGGTAGAGCTAGCGGTAAAATGGATCGGGTTTTGTTGCCCACATTTCCACGGGTTCAGTCAGAAAGGAATGAATGTTTAGAAGTGTTCAGACCCACAAACACCTACGGATCTGAATGAAGAGAATCAACCCTCAACCGCCGCAGCAGTTCAGGGTTTAGTCGCTGGAAATGCTAACACTAACGTTAGCTAACCTTGCAACACTGTAGATGGTTTTCTGTGTGGCTGTAGAGTTTGATTTCATGGAAGTCAGCGATTGTTCATTTTATGATGTATATTAATGATTGTTTCAGGTGTTGAGGTTTTCTGCACACGTGTATCTGCTAGTTAAAGGTGGTTTAGAGAATAGGTACGCATGACCACTTCCTTCATTGCACTCAATAGACTAGCTCCTTCATAGCACCTGCAGAAAAAATTTTTGGAGCCGCCCCTGACCTTTAGTGATTTGCTTTTTTGGGGGGTGCACACATCTAGCTAGAGCAAGACTGTCGTTTGGCTCTCTGAAGTCTTTGTACAGTGGCACGAGTCCTGTGTGATGGCTGAAAATACTCGCAGCAACAAAATGTATTCGTGGTGCCATCAGGGCTAGGAAATGTTATTCCATTTCTTCAGGCTAAGCTGTTCAGTGTCTAGTTGTAAATTCTAATTTGTCAGAACCTGAATCAGTTTGCCTTTTCCTTCCAGACCACCCTTACTTCGTTGGAGTGCAGTACCACCCCGAGTTCACATCTAGACCCATTAAGCCATCACCACCTTACCTGGGGTTGCTTCTGGCTGCTGCAGGAAAACTGCAGAGCTACTTGCAGAAAGGCTGCCGTCTATCTCCACGGTAATGGGATTACAAGTTGGAAATGTGTTTCCACGTACAAGCTTTTAATCTATAATTCCTCTACAGAGACATGTACAGCGACCGCAGTGGCAACAGCAGCCCGGATTCAGAGATTGCTGAGCTGAAGTTTCCTCCAGTTACAGATTCAGCATGAGTGTTGGGCGTGCTTCAAGTCCTGTAGTCTCTTACAAGCTGGCCCCACATCAGAACTGCTATTGCTGTGGCCTTACTGTATATAATGTATTGCTGTTTTACTTCCAACTTGTAATGACCAGGATTCAAATAAACAAACTTAAAAAGTTATTTTAGTCTTTATTGAAAATGTCACATTAAACATTAAAAGTTTTAGCAGGCCCCTGCTCCCAAAAAGCAGTCTACCAACGTTTCTGGCTCAGCTCCATGGCAACCCCTCGGCCCGCTGCCACTGCACCTGGAATATAAAGTCGGTTTTAAATCTCAGCTGTGAAACTCCCCACAAACACTCGAGAACACTCAATCTCAGTCCCATATCCGCAAGCTTCATCCAACAGTCACGTTATGTTTTAATGTCATCATGGATCAGAATAAGCAATGCACAGCAATCATTTAGTACACATACCTTAAGTAGGTCAGTCTGTGGAACCCATGTAGCAGAGTCCAGCTTACGATCACAGGTGGACTGGTGCCTGCAGGAAAGCAATGTTGGGTTTTATATTTATTATTCATCTGTAGGGCAGCTGAGTGGCTGCTAGTGGCAAAAGGGCCACAACAGTCAAAGACCGCCCAATGTTCTTGCATGCATTTGGAGAACCATGAGCTACAAGTGAGCTCAGATCCTTAGGATAGCATGCTACGGTATCGTCGACTAAAGGGATGAAGTTACCTTGATGTGTGCCATTTCCTTCTAGTGTCTAGTCTTCAGTCCAGTTCACCTACATTGGAAAAAAAAACTTTAAATTTTGGAACGTTTCATTTTAAAAATTCATTACGTAAGCTTGGCTCAGTAAAGATGTCTCAATCACGTTTCAGTGAGGGCAAGTTTCTCATCACAGCCAGGATGGTTACTGTAGCCCAGCTCAGCTAATTACCTGCAAGGTTTCCTTGTGGCACGCTTCTGCAAGAGCCCAAACCTGTCAAAATAAATCATAAACGTTGACACGTGTGACCGACAGTGTGACACATTTATGAAGAACTGTCCTCCTCCTCAATGTTGCTGCAGCAGTTACTACCAAACTGAGCAGCGACCGTCGGTAGAAGTGTTGATCTTGGCTTCTTTTTGACCGTTCACTGCTACTAGGAGGCATGAACGGCTTCGATAGGAGCCTGAAGAGAACCAGCTGAACCTCACCTTATAGCGACCCGATCCTTCCCATTCCATGCCAGTTTGGTCGGTGGAAAAGGCCCATTACATTCACACAGAGGTCCATTCCTCAGGGAGGGTGGCTGAAGCCTTCAGGAGCTGACACAAAAAAACAAAAACACGTTTAAGTGAAACTTTAAAGTAAAGTTAACTTATTTTAAATTGCGGAATTTTGCCCACTATTTCATTACGCTAATACAGAATGTCGTGAATCGATCTTCGGTTTAAATGATATTTATGGACATCACTTGGTGTCTGATCAGCAGCCAATAAAGTTTTGAGTATTTGAATGCAGGGCCGTACCACGTGCGTCTGCAGGGGTGAGTAGCATGCTAAAGGTTTGGGGTTAACCCAATTTTTAAAAAAAGGCACTAATGTATTTAAGACATTTCATCTTTCGCCATTAGTCTACGGAAGTTAACGGGTTATGAAAACGTTATAGACGCTTTTAAAGCGTTCAGCCAATGTGAAGTGGCTAATTTTGGTAGCATTAGCATACACGCAACAAAGCACCAGAACCCCTTACTTAATGCACCACTCTTTAAAATGCACCTTTAACCGGAATGGTTGTTCAAAAACTTGCGTGAGCCAAAACTTAAAACAATACGGCCTTACCGAAAAACAAATCCGTGCCCATCTCTTCACAATAAAACATCAGTGACGAGAACTATCTGGCGATGAACGAAAAGAGCGTAGGGAGCGCCTGCGACCAATTTTATACGTTTGCGATTCATCCTCTCCCCTCTGATTGGTCAGTTACCTGATATTTCTCTCTGTAATTGGTTATCCAGATCACGTGTCCTTTCTCTGATTGGCCACATGACCAAAAGCACGGTGGGATATGTATTCTTTAAATCTAGCTGAAAACCATCGACGTACATACAAACAAACAGTTTTAATTATTTCTTTAACACTTTTAGACACAAATGGTCCAGTAGTTATATTTTGTATTTCATTTCCATTTTTTCTTATTTTAGAGTTTATAATTTACACTAAATGTAGAAAATGCTTAGAAAAGGCACAAAATGAATCCTTTAACCTACTTTCAGAACCACGGATAGCAACACTGAGGCTTTTAGTTTGAGGGTTTGAACAAAAACCGTAGACTACTTGTGTCTCATCGGTGTAAAAATGAGAAATTGTGTTAATTGCACTCATGTGGTAATAAAGTGTCACACTAATATTTTGAAGCTGGAAATGACCTCGCGCAGAGCAGGTGACCACGGCCCTAGAACAATCTGTTAACGCACTGTGGCTCGCGCCCCGGCTGGGTTACAATAATCCAGTCGAGCATAGGTAACGCTGTCACATGATTGGTGCGGTCGCTCGGCGCCTCTTCCTGAGCAGAAGGCAGCTGCAGCAGCCCGGGCTCCGTCCGCGCTTTGTTCACACGCACACGCACCTCGCCTCCCAGTCATGCCATGGATACTTTGTGGCAGTACCAGTTCCGAATCATCCTGCTCGGGGACTCCACGGTGGGGAAGTCGTCGCTGCTGAAACGCTTCACGGACGGGATCTACAGCGACGTGGCGGATCCGACGGTCGGGGTGGATTTTTATGCCCGCTCCCTTGATGTGGAGCCCGGGGTGAAAATAAAGCTCCAGCTCTGGGACACTGCCGGCCAGGAACGATTCAGGTAACTAACCCGCGTCTTTGGAGTGCATCCACCTGTCCGGGAGGAGATTTCAACACCCCAGAGGCCTTTCAGAGCTGTTGTGGTTGTTGTCGTTTCAAAGGAAATAAAAGCAGTTTCATGGTGGGGGATGCGATGCAACATCCCGGTTTAAAAGGGATGAAATTGTCCAAAATGCACCGGCCTGTGTAACAGCAACGGGCCTGCACATCGAGCTACATCATTCGTTCTCGGATGATGAGCAGCCTCCTCATATTTAGGCCGCATTTGATTCTCTCTCATTTGGTCTCCAGGGCAACCAAGGGATGACAGCTCAATCCAAATCTCCGTTTATTTACACATAAAGGCCTACATCCGATCATATTTCCCCTGTTGCGTTTTCAGCTCTTTCCTTGCTGTCAAACAATCATATTTTCAGGGACTTCCTTTTCAAAGCAGCTCTCTTAGATCTGGGGTTCCTTTTGAAGCTGGAGCTTCTGAGGGTATTTTCTGTCAGGCTTCACCACACTCTTACGACTTTCACTTCTCCCTCAGCAGATCTGTGGGGAATGTTTTTGAAATCATTCAGCAGTTTCTTACAGAGTGGAACCTGCATGTGTTTTAAATGCAAACCTAAGTTAAAGTGTTTCCCTTTAGCCATTCCTGATTTTATAAGCACAAAGTAAACCTGCATCTAAGTCAGGTAAACCAATTCAATCAGAAGTGGATCTGGATGCTTTTTAGTGATATATTTAAGGGACCTAACTGATCATTCCCAACATGCTCAAGCCCACCAAGTTCAGGTCAGGTAGATTAAAATTAAACCACCTGATCATCAATTCAGGATTGTGGTGCTAATCCTCCTGCATTACTCTACACCAAACAACTGCAATGACTGTGGTCATGCTACTAACACTAACAAGCTAACCCTAAAAGCACACAGCACTCAGAGATGATGATGCCTGCTCGTTGAATTTCAAAAAGGTAAAAACAAACAATGGACTAGAACATGTCATTTTTAAGGGCGCTAAATCCTCGATTACCAGAAAACAACACCTGCTTTTTTCTTCCCAGTTATTTGAGCCTTACATTTAGAATAAGCTAAAAGAAAATCCATATGATCCAAAACATTTCATTTGCTGCCACTGGCTCATCAGTGTCACCATAGTAACTAGCGACGTAACAAAACATCGATCTACTTTGATTGATTGTATTGCCAACATTGATCTACATCTTTGTTCCAAAATCCAAAAATCAATACAATAACTATTCTCAATTGCACTTTTATTTTGAAAATAGTTTTATTTTGATGTTCCTATGACATGCCGTTCTACACCTCTTTAATCACTAAAAGTGTTGATTGTCATGGTGAGCAGCGAGAAAACAGTCATTGAAGATATCGTTTCTCGTCCAGTCACTTGTAACCTTGTTTCGTACTGATCAGAGGATCCTAAATCCAGTCCAATCCTAACTGTACTGAGACTGAATTTGAGACATCGACAAACATCAAATCACAAAATACTGTATCGATATAATACCGTTGTGATCAAACCAGTGGTTTCACTGCCCAGTAACCACACTGATGTACTGGAAGGTAAATCTAGAGAGAAGAAACAATCAGTGGTCCTGTATAAATCACCCAGTGGAGTCATATTCTGATGCTTTTATTTTGCATGAATAGTCTAATGCCTGAATGATGGTGTAATTGGTTAGCCTGGTAAGCCATCCTATACGTCAGTATTTGTCTGGCCCTGACCCATCGGGAGAGCTCAGTCATGAGGTGGAACCTACGGTTGTCTTTCAGACTATCTTTGCACACTATTGGACAACAAACAACATGACATAATAACCTATACCGATGTCCGTTAATGGGGCAGTCCACTATACGCTGTTGAAGTAGACGCAAATACATCTTTTTTCTAATTAAAAGACTTAAGTACCTCCATTTGCTCCTGACTCAAAGAAAGACCTAACTAGTCCAAAGTTGCTGCCAAAGCAAACGAGTCACCGCCATCTTAGTTCTCTCACTCTGTCGCCTCATCCTGTCCACCAAGCCGATAGAGAACTTAATACTGGTACAAGCCTGCTTTTTTGTCAATATTCTTGATTCTGTCACAGATTTGATTTCAATCTCCCAACTGTAGGTTTAGAAAATTAACTCATTTTCTAAACCACCTACTCTTCACTGGGGTCGCCGGGTGCTGGTGCCTAACTCCTTCAGACATCGGGTAAGAGGCGGAGGACACCCTAGACGAGTAACCAGTCCATCACAGGGACACATAGAAACAATCATGCATGTTTTTGGTCATGGGAGGAAACCGGACTACCCAGAGAAAACCCATACATGCATGAGGAGAACATGCTAACTCCACTCAGAAGGGTCACAGCTGGGATTTTAACCTACACCCTTGTTGCTGTGAGGCAACAGTGCTACCAATTGCTAAACTAGAAATCTAGACCGGCAGTAGCCACTAACCCTAACCTATTAGAACCTCAGCAGGCCCAAACAGTCTTGTGTCTTGCCAATCACCTTCTGAAGACAACTCATATCAGACCATTTCAGTGTAGGCAATGTTTACTCCTTTTAACTTTTTCATTGTACCAATTAGCCCTCCTCTAGACATTAGTCTGTATTTTCTGGCTTCGAGACGTTTCTGGCTTGATGTAAATGTGAAGGACCAACAAAATATACCAATAGTACCAGTTAAAGGAAGAGTCAAAGCCTGAATGTTGCATGTGACACTGCTGTCAAGTACCCAAAAAAGCTCAATTTGTCTTGCAAAGCAGAGATCTCAGGGCACTCTCAAATTCAATTAGAAGAACTGAATTAAGTTTGGATTTGGTCAAACTGAGGACAACCGGGTCTCAAATACCAACAACAACAACAGCTGTGCAACACGAAGTGTCAAATGCTGGTTGAGTTCTTCTAGAAGATCTGTCTAATGGCTTTGAAACCTCGTCTTTTGCATTTTTTTTTTTTTTACTAATCTAATACTTGGACTGAATCTGACCTAGCTCACATAGACACCTCAACGTTGTCTTCACCCAATTTAAAGCTCTATGAGCATGTATCTTTCATTTCTCTTCAACAATAGGGAGTCTAAGTCATGCCCACCTACTTCCAGACCATGGGTCCTCGGAAGAAGAAGAAAATGAATGCAACTCAATGAGGCTAAAAATGCTATTTTCTAATTCTGCTTGTTATGTGCCATGGATTTCACATAAGATGTCCGTGAATTTAAAAAAAGCATTTTGATATCAAGAACATGCTAATTTTCGAATGGGGGAAATGTTATTTTAGATTTTGTGTGAAATTAAGTCCAGGACTACAAATGTTCTTCACAAAAGTGACGTCACCAAACCAGAAACGGAGAAAAGCAGGAGAAATGGACATAAGTTCAACAAACTTCCAATCCTTCCTTCGGGAGGAAAGAACCACCATAAATCTGGCCATGTGGTAAGTAGCAGCTATGCTAGGGGAGAGGAGATTATGTGGTGATGTCACATATGCAACGTGCGGTTGGCTGATTTGTATTCATGCTAATTACGAACCTTTACAAGCTGATAAATCTCAAAGTCTGACTCAAAACTTTCATCAGAAACCAGTATTGTGAACAGCATCTGTACAACGTATTGAAACCATTGCAAGGGTTCTCAATTTCCTCACAGGACCATGCATGAAATTTGAAAACAAAAAGACCCTCTTGAACAAACCTCAGATACAAATGTACTAATTCAGTGTGATTTTGTACAAAATTTGTATGATTTATTGCAATTTGTTACCCCCAACTAGTCACCAACAACTGCAGCCCAGTGAGATACCGGCCTAAACTCTCAAACGTATTTATGGTGGTCTTCGATATGTTTCCTAGTTTCCCTGCAGTTCATGATTGTATTATCTCCAATAAAGTGACATATCAGAATTATTTTACCTTAAGGTATTAACCATTGTCGTTAATGTGTCTACTCACCAGGTCCATCACAACATCATATTACCGGAACTCCGTCGGGGGGCTGCTGGTCTTTGACCTGACCAACCGTAAAACGTTTGACCACGTGAAAGAATGGCACAAAGAGGTGAGTGAGCACATCCTGCCCCACCACATGGTCTACATCCTCATCGGCCACAAGAGCGACCTCAACAAGGACCGCAAGGTGAGCCGGGACGAAGCGGAGCAGCTCGCTGCCGAGCTGGGCATCCGCTACGTCGAGACGTCGGCGAAGTGCAACAGCAACGTGGATCGAGCATTTGAGCTGCTGACCAGAGACATCTATGAGCTAATGAAGATGGGGGAAATCGTTACCCGTGACGGCTGGGACGGTGTGAAAAGCGGCCTCACTGCCAAAGTCCTTTATCCGGGCGAGGAAGAGGAGGAACTTGCAACTGCGTCTCCTGAAAAGGGTTGTCACTGCTGACTGATAACTGTACGTGTCCAACCACCATCCTTCACACCTCGTCTCACAAGCCACCCATTGGAACTTGATCACTGAGACTCAGCGCCGTGGTATCACCTCTCACCATGCATCACTCTCTTTCTCTGTTATTTGTGCCCTGTGTTTATGTGGGTCACACTGACAACTGGGATCACTTCGGTCCCGTTTGGAAGAAGCTGTATCGTAATCCTTGTGGTGTAGCATGAGTCAGGATGACTTCGTTGAAAAAAAAAAAACACAGAAAGTGTTCCAACGTGACCAGGTTTCGGGGCTTGATATTAACCTGTTTCTCCCTGTGGAGCAAATGGACCACAAAACAGACTCAAATGGACTAATATTATGGTCTGGTGTCATCTACGCCTACCTATTGAAGTCGGTGTGATGCATTGCCTGTAGTAATTCTGATATTGTAAATAGTATTGATAACTATAGAGATGATGGCTAAAGTAGGGGCTGTTCAGGCAGATTGTACAAATGATGGTAAATGTTCTAGTGAATCAACGTGCTCTTCCTGCTTCTGTAAGCTGTGCGCAAAGCCAACCTGACTTTGGTCATTCTATGAATAGATGTCCACAAAAAGAGATTTGTAGTTACGTTGTAAAGACAATTCATTGTACTAGGGTTCTATTAAAGCATCTGTAAATAGTACCAATATCACCAAATGCTGCACCAGAGGTCCATCTTTTATTAGTGGTGAGAGGAAGTCTTATTTTCAGGTCCAAAACATTCCCTGTTAAAGCAGTAATCCAGAGTTTTCCTTCTTTAAGGGATTATGTTTGGGTTTTTTTCATCTGTAAAAGCTCTATGATACAAAGTTGGAAAAACTTCAGTTTGTTTGCTAAGCCCGCCCCCATCCTGTAGAGCCTCGTGCAATTTGATTTGAGCACTGCTAAGCATTAGCCAATAGCATTACACATCCACTTACATACAGATGTCAATAACAGAGTAGGCGTGCACCATTGTGGAAGATCCTAGACTGATGCAGAGTTGGCAAGTAAGTCTTTAAAATGTATGAATAAACAGCATAAACTGAGAATGACAATTATAACTCAATGTGTTTTAGCTCTGGTGGCCAGCTAGAGATGCACATTCACGAAAGAAAATCATTGCCTTCAGCCGTAATCATGAAATTGAAAAGAAGAGCTTAAGCTGCAGTACATTTTACCACCACTAGACGTGCTGTCTGACAGAAAAACTCCGGATATCCACATTTAAGTGATTGTTCTGCCAGTTTGAAGTGGGTTTCTGTGGAAAAAGTGTTTCATTGAAAAAAAAATACTTCACTCTGAGTTTTTCATGCAGGTTGAACATGAAAATAGTCTCCTACACCTATTTCCTACATTAGCTTCTGATAAAAAAAAACAATAGATGAGGAAACTAGGACTTGTAAAGCCTGACAGATCTAGGTCACACTGTCACTCAACATTCATGGACTCACCCATCTTGACTCACCACGGGGAAGGCTGTTGCAGGTTTAGCGTTCAGGAAACAGCAGAGAACATCTTGGCTAGTAGAAGCTAACCGTTAGCATTAGCAACTCCACCACACAGCAGAACTCCTACAGGCTTGTGTTATTTGTGGAGATAAAACATCAACGTTGCAGAGCAAACACAGTCAGTCACGTTGTAGTTAGCCAATCAGAAGTGAGATGTCCAAATATCAGAAAATGGACTCCAAATCCTGCAGTTTGAAGCTGCTTTCTCCTCCAACTGACTTTTACTTCCTGAAACTTGTACCCCGAGTACGGCTTACAAGGAATTAATTGCTACTAGAGACCACTACACATGTATTGATTGAATGAGTGAACCACATCTTTAAAACCTCATTTTGGAGTTACAGAGATTAGTTTTGATTAGACTTGTTATTCACAATGAACTTTGAGTTTATTTGCCTCAGAAATTAGAAGAAGAAACAATCAGTTGCAGAGCTAGCCACTGTAACACCTCTGCCTGGAATTTCATCATAAGTCTAAATAACCATGAAATTTGAAACCTACTAAGACATAAAGTCCATGGATTTGGTTTTTGATTCGACTTTAGGTTTGTTTTTAAGACATTTTTGTGGCTTGCTCCAAACTAATCTGTTTCTCCAAACTGAGGTCATTCAAAGTGCTATCTACCTGCAGGTAAGATATTAATTTAAACAAAAACACATTTAAAAGATGTGGACTGTTGGCCTAGAAGTTTTTACCATTAGCACATGGATCACACGATAAATGAACCTGCACTAGATGGATGCATGGTGTCATCCACAGGTTTCAGCTGGAAATTTTGTCGGATTTGGTAAGAATTATTGGAACTGTATATTTTTTTCAGGATCCTTATAGACAGTGTTTGACGTTTATGGGATATGTTACCAAATAAAGCCACTTGACTCTGATTGGGTTTTATCTGTCTCACTCAGATTTCTATTTTAATGTTCGTAAACACTGCGCCAGATACAGATCCTCACAAGGTTTTAAAAAGTTTTATTAAATTTTTTAGATAAACTTGAGTTTCCTCTCTGCTCAGGGAGCAGCAGTGACAGAAGCATGCAAATCCACATCCTCTGTGATTTGTGTCCAAAAATTCAAACATTTAGCCAATTTTTCATCACGCAAGTACAGGTAAAACCTCATCTACGTATATGGATGATCTGATAATTCTATGATATTCTCTTAGAGCAGAGCCGTAAGAGCAAAACACACACTCATCAGCCTCCCTGGAAAGGTCTTCTCCAAGGTACTGGAGAGGAGGGTCCGATCGATAGTTGAATCTCAGATTGAGGAGGAGCAATGTGGTTTTCATCCTGGCCGTGGAACTGTGGACCAGCTCTATACCCTTGCAAGGGTGATGGCGGGGGCATGGGAGTTTGCCCAACCAATCCACATGTGTTTTGTGGATTTGGAGAAGGCTTATGACCGTGTCCCCAGGGGCACCCTGTGGGGGACGCTCCAGGAGTATGGGGTGGGTGGCTTTCTGTTAAGGGCCATTCAGTCCCTTTACCAGAGGAGCGTGAGTTTGGTCCGCATAGCCGGTAGTAAGTCGGACCTGTTCCCGGTGAGGGTTGGACTCCGCCAGGGCTGCCCTTTGTCACCGGTTCTGTTCATCACTTTTATGGACAGAATTTCTAGATGCAGCCGTGGTGTGGAGTGTGTCGAGTTTGGTGGCAGGAGAATCTCGTCTCTGCTTTTAGCGGATGATGTGGTCCTCCTAGCTTCATCCAGCTCTGACCTTCAACTCTTGCTGGGTAGGTTCGCGGCTGAGTGTGAAGCGGCTGGGATGAGGATCAGCACCTCCAAATCTGAGACCATGGTTCTCGACCGGAAAAGGGTGGCTTGAAACTCCGGGTCGGGAGAGAGGTCCTACCTCAAGTGGAGGAGTTTAAGTATCTCGGGGTATCTTGTTCACGAGTGAGGGTAGGAGGGATCGGGAGATCGACAGGCGGATTGGTTCGGCGTCTGCAGTGATGCAGACGCTGAGCCGATCTGTCGTGGTGAAGAGGGAGCTGAGCCAGAAAGCCAGGCTCTCGATTTACCTGTCGATCTACGTCCCAATCCTCACCTATGGTCATGAGCTTTGGGTAATGACCGAAAGAACGAGATCGCGGATACAAGCGGCCGAAATAAGTTTCCTCCATAGGGTGGCCGGGCTCAGCCTTAGAGATAGGGTGAGGAGCTCGGACATTCGGGAGGGACTCGGAGTCATTTGAGGTGGTTTGGGCATCTGGTCAGGATGCCTCCTGGACGCCTCCCTGGGGAGGTGTTTCGGGCATGTCCTGCCGACAGGAGGCCCTCGGGTCGACCCAGGACACATTGGAGAGCTTACATCTCCAATCTGGTCCGGGAACGCCTTGGGGTCCTGCCGGAGGAGCTGGTGGAGAAGGCCGGGGTGAGGACGGTCTGGAGCTCCTTAGTTGGGATGCTTTCCCCGCAACCCGGACCCGGATAAGCGAAGGAAGACGACAACGATAGAGCAAAAGAGATGCTGACCAAGCTGATCGCATTTAAGATGGGATGGCAAATATTCCATGTATCACATGATGTAGTCTAGTGACATCTAGCTATTATTACAGAACATTATTTCCAAGCTACAAGCTTATGATCTTTGCTAACACTCACATTGTCACAGATTGTTTATAATTATCTGTCTTTAGGGAACAATCTTCCTTTGAGTCATGCTTTAAATAAACCACAGGGCTGATGACACGACCAAACAATGTGACACCAATCGTCAAAGTGGCTAAAATGTTTGATCTTGTATTTTTATGTTTGTTTTAATTCCAGATATCAACAGCAGCAGTCACCAGTTTATTCAGTCTTGAATATTTGCAGTGCAACCGACAATTTTGGGATCTTTTGTGGACATTTTTTTTGTGGATCAGAGGCTAATGACAATAAGGATCTCTGGTTATTTCTTTGTCTATTGTTAGGAAGAAATGCTAGAATAATAGAAAATATGTGTAATTAAGCCTTTTAGCCTACGTGAGAAAAAAATGTCGTGTGGATCTCAGCATGAAGCTAATCAAACCTGCCATGTGCTACCACAGTTAGGAAACTGCTCTTATACAAAAGTCCCTTTTTGCAACCTTTTGTGTTGCCATGTGGGTCTCTGCTTCCTCTGTAAACACTCCTAACATTTTAAAACCTGCCCATTTGTTTTATGTCATTGTTTAGTTTTAGGAATTATGTGCCTAAAACAAGCCTTTTCAAAAAGTCGCAAATGAGGAAATAAGAATAAAACCACCTGGAGTTATATTTATCCATTAACCCTGATGAACCTAATCGGTTGGGTAGATTACAGGCTTGTCTTGAGGACATAAAAAGTTGGATGACTCTAAACTTTTTGCTTTTAAATCAAGACAAGATGGAAGTTCTCATCTTTGGACCAGAAAGAAAAGGAAATTGCTTAGTCAATCGCCTGACCTGAATGGCATTACATTAATCTCCGAGAACAAAGTAAGGAACCTTGGTGTTATCTTTGACCAGGACATGTCATTCAAATCCCAGGTTAAACAGGTTTGTAGGATTTCCTTTTTCCACCTTTGGAATATTGCTAAGATTAGAAGCATTCTTTCCAGGAGTGATGCTGAAAAACTAGTTCATGCATTTATTACATCAAGACTGGATTACTGTAATCCATTACTCTCAGGAAGTCCACAGAATGTAGTTAAAAGTCTTCAGCTTGTCCAAAATGCTGCAGCTAGAGTTCTGATGAGAATTAAAAAGAGAGATCATATCTCTCCTGTCTTAGCTTCCCTACATTGGCTACCTGTTAAATTCAGAATAGATTTTAAGATCCTTCTTCTCACATATAAAGCTCTTAATAATCAATCTCCATCATACATCAGTGATCTGATTGTTCCATACGTTCCTAACCGAGCACTTCGCTCTCAGACTGCAGGTTTACTGGTGGTTCCCAGAATATCCAAAATTAGGATGGGAGGCAGATCTTTTAGTTATCAGGCTCCTCTCCTGTGGAACCAGCTCCCAGCTTTAGTCTGTGAGGCAGCCACCTTGTCTACTTTTAAGACTAGGCTTAAAACATTTTTATTTGATAGGGCCTATGGTTAAAATCTGATGTTAGCCTAAATCTGGACAAGTGGGGGAGTAGAGGGAGGTGGAGTGTACAGTCGGTAAAGACGGCTCTCCCTTGTCCTGACTCCAACATGCCTCTATCTAAATAGGATAGATTATCCAGAGTTATCTCTGTAGTTATGCTGCTATAGGCTTAGACTGCTGGAGGATACACTGACCCCTTTTCACACTCTACTACTTTCTTCTACTATCTGCTCTTTAACTGTATTACTTTCTGCAATTTCAGCTGTTAACTTTATTTTCTCTGTAAGTGTTTTTCTCCCCAGAAGAAGCTACAATGATGTTCTGCTGAGCTGTGGTGGCCTCATGGAGGGGGCCATCGTCTAGCACACTGCTGCTAACCACTTAAACATTCTCCCTCTCCTGATAATAACTATTTACTTTCCTTGACGTTGGATGTGCTACTACTAGTTTACCCGTTTAATTATAGATCCACTAGGATAAATACAATAAAGTTTATCTCTCGCCAAATAGAATATTTACTAAGAAATCACAATATAACTATAGACACATTACTTTGTCGCGTGTGTGTGTGTGTGTGTGTGTGTGTGTGTGTGTGTGTGTGTGTGTGTGTCTGCTCTGTCTTCTCCATCCCCAGTGAGTCATGGAGGATGGCTGCTTATACTGAGCCAGGATCCTCTGGAGGTTTCTTCCTGTTAAAAGGGAGTTTTCCTCTCCACTGTCGCTATATGCTTGCTTAGTATGAGGATTGCTGTATAGTCACTGACACTCGTCAGTGACTTGATGCAATTTGCTGGGTTCCTTATATAGGAAACATTATTTCTGATTGGCTTAATGAACTGACCTGAATTGGAATGTTTATTATGGGAAGTGCCTTGAGACGACTCTTGTCGTGATTTGGCGCTTTATAAATAAACTTGGATTGAATTGGAGGAGCAGCGGCTCTACTCCAAGCCCCTCTCAAATATTGGAGCTTCTCAGCTTATAGCAGCCTGGAGAGGGGGGTGGGTGGGTGTGGCCAGCTCCAGCTTGTTTTCTTAAAGTGACAGAGCCCAGAAATGGCTCACTCTGGATATTGAAACTGTCAATATTAAAACTGCTGAAATTGCTTATGTGAGAGAGATTTAGAGCAGATAATTTTATGGTCATGTTTGGTTTCAACCATAAAACTATTATAACTTAAAATAAATCTCTTAATATGTACTTTTAAAACTGTACAGTAGAAATGCTAACATTCTTTGTTAGCTAACTAATGATGACTACCGATAGTTATTAAACCATCTTAAATGTAATAATATATCATAATTAGATGGCTAATAAGAAATGCTAACTGACTTATTATTGAATTGGTGTTTTATCACACAAATTGAAATTAGTTTACTATCATATTTTTCCTAGTGGATGATTTGCTTTCTTTAGCAAATTACTTTTGAACAAATTTGTGTCCACATGACATTCAATCTGCTTATATTAAACATTATTTCCGGTAACCAGAGAATTGAACTCCTGAGCCTGATAATCTGCTGTTTCTGAGCTTGGATTGAACAAATTACACACTTTTCTTTTCTTTTTTTTTTTTTTTTTTTTTTGTCTAGTCTTTTAACAGCACTTAATTTAATGTCCACAATGCTCAATAAAAAGTAGTTGTTGCTCTGCTACGATAGCTTTTTGCAGTATGGTTGGTTTATATTGAGGTTATTTATTGTAAAAAAATGTCATTTGAATAATTTAGATTTTTTTTATTAGGAATGTCGAAATGAAAGATCAGGAAAGGAAAGAAATAAAAGTAGGTCAGATTTTTATTTCAGCATTCAGCTAAAGGTAGACATATTAGTTCTCCATCTCCTCACCTGCATTTTACTTCTTAAAAAATGTTTTTAAATCACACTACACCCTGGGATGTTTACATTGGTGGGGTCCAACATAAATAAATAAATAAAAAACAATACTCACGAAATGGCTGAAATGCGGTCTTTATGATTTGCACGCACACACAATTTTATCCAAAGCTTTAGTGCCGTCCTCTGGCAGACTAAGAAACTACATGTTTGATTTGTAGCCGTCATATGGTGTTTCTTGTTTGCTTCTGTTAGATTAAATTAATCCAACATTCAATTAATTCAGCAAATAAGTTTCAGCTAATATCAGTCATATTAAGAATGTATTATACTGTATTATTAGCTGGGTCCACCTCTCTACTGGAATTCCTTCCCTGGTATTTTGATTATTAATGATAATTTCAATTTTTAACCAGTAAAACATCTCATTAGTTCATAAAATAGTATCACTACTGAGAAAAATAATCCCATTTGTATTGAAAAATATTTGTATTTTTGATCAAAATTGCTAAAACCTTAGACCACACTGCCAATAAATAAATAAATAAATAAATAAATAAAGTCAGATGACAGACTGGGGTATTAAGAAAGAACACAACTTTGTCAATTTGAAGTTGTTTGCTTTGCGTCTCATAGACCTGAAGCTCCTGTCACCCACTCACATGAACGCAACATCTGTTTGTTTGAAAAAACTAACCAATCACAACCCTATTTTACCACGGGATCACCGCCCCTTTTTACCCATGATGCTTTGCAAACTTCTGAGACATTACAAAGGCATTTCCAAAACTCAAAAAAACGACCACCCAACAATTATGATATTTTAAAACTAAATGTGTATAATATACTTGATCCGATTAATTAATGACGTTCACGTCCAATATAAGGAGATTTTGTTTTTCTTGAACCCTGAGCGAGACTTCCGTTACTGATTTACATGTCAGTAGCGGACCCGCTTTCCCGTTAAAAGGGCTTCTGCCGTGATTGGCACAGACGAGGTGAGCATAACAACTCATCTTGTCTGCGGAATCCCCATCAAGAGATTTCGGAAGCATAATTTTTGCAACAGAGGCAGCTGGTGATCACTTGTCCTGGCGCCTCATTTCATTGTGTAAGACAATATGTTAAACGATGAGCTTTTATCCTCATGATCAAGTGTATTTTAAATTCGAAGTAAGCATTTAGATTAAATTCAATTGATTCAACAGCTCAGTACAGAAGGCAAATAGTACAAAAGTGACCAGGAATGCAAACAACTACAAGAACACACTGTACAACAGCACTTCATATGCAGACACATGAAGAAATCAAGTTTAACCCTCTCAGGCTCAAAATAAGTTTTGATAAAAGGACGAACAACTAAGTCCTTCAGGGGTGCTTTAGAGTTAAAAATGCTCATGAAATACGTCTGTGGAGTAACCAGGTAGGTGGGTTTTAACCTGCCTGCCTCCAGAGGGTTAAATGTTTTAATACAAACAGTCCACAAATGCCACACCTTAAATTCCCTTCGCTATCATTTATACGTCAATCCGCATGCACGTTTATTACAGTAATTAAGGCGAAATAATTGAATTTGGTCACTTTTCCAGAGCTTGGAAAGTGAGCGAGCGCTGTTCGGCAGGAAGTTAAGCTATATCATTCCAAAGCGCATGCGCACAAGCTGCCAACAATCAAGCGATGCGTTTGTCTTCATAAAACGGTAAGGACAGGCTTTTACTACAGTGTAAATTTGAATCTGCATAACCACGAAGTGCCCACTTTTTGTAATACGTAAGCCATGTTTTGAAGCAGACAGCTTTGAATTGACCACGGAAGGCTTCAGGTAGCCAGGCTCGTTCAGAATGGAGGAGTAACGCCGCCGTCGCCGTGCCGTTGTTTGCTGTACGTGCCGCCGCACAGGGAGACGTCATTTTGAGGGGGAGCGGAGAGTTAAAATGCAGAGTTACGAAGGGACGTACGGTTCATAGACAAACGGCACGTAGCCGTCACACTTTAAATGCAACGCTTTACCCCTCTCGGACACGTTGCTGCTCGCTGTTGTCCGCATTACCGCACATGGAGTTACGTCGTTGCGTTAGCTGTAATGGCTACCTCCAATCTGAGAGTAGCTCATTGGATCAGAACGGCAAAAACGCAGCAGGGTTCCCGGTGCAATGATCGCCAACTTCAGCAAACAAGTTTAAAATGTCACAACGCGGGTGGATGTAGCAGCTACCGCGTGACTAAACTGTTTAGTTAGTACCGGTAATGTTTAGCTAACCGGCGGGGTTTACGCCTCAGTAGCCTCACACACAGTCCGGAGCTGAAATATCAACGTTAAGAAGCTAAAACCACACAGAAACGGCAACTTCACATCAGTTTTCTCGCTGAAACCCCCTCAAAATCATTCTAATCGTATTTGTAATTTCTTAGCGTTAAAAAGTACTCACGTTTAACACGGATATTTCAAGAACAAAAATATTGATTTTTAAAACATGCTTATATGATCAGTCGTATAGTTTGCAAATGTTTATGGATATGATCGTTAAAAACGCAGACATTTACAAACAATTCAGAATTTTAGGGGCTTAAATATTGGTTTGCATTGAAGTTTAAACTCTTGTAAGCGTTCACATTGTAAAAAAAACAAAATTTACTTATTTATGTGACCTATTTGAACATCCTCAGTTTGGAGAAGTGGAGATTTGGGTCTTACTGGACAATGAAGCTAACACCAAGTGTCAGTTGTTTCTTCTAAACCCATTAGAATAAAAATAATCCTCTTTGGTATTCATGTAAACTATATATATTTGTTTAGGCCAACATTAGTTTTACATGTGAACAAAGCAGCATAGCTCACTCAGGCTATACAAAGTTAGTTACATTAGATAATATATAAATATTTCATCACCGTTTTACATAGCCAGCAAACATTCAAAAGTGTTCTCACTGTTGAAACGTCAAACCGAGACATCCCATCATGTTTCTAGAGTAGTTCCAAAATGAAAGTTGAACTGACGTCTTTTCTGGCCGTGAAATAAAGTCTCATTTGGAAGTTTAATAATTAAAATGTGGGTGTCTTATTACAGTTTTAAAAAAATTATATATATATATATATATATATATATATATATATATATGTATGTATGTATGTATGTATGTATGTATGTATGTATATATATATGTATGTATATATATATGTATGTATGTATATATATATGTATGTATGTATGTATATATATGTATGTATGTATATATGTATATATATATGTATGTATGTATATATGTATATATATATGTATGTAGTATATATATGTATATACATATATATGTATATACATATTTATACATATATGTATACATATATATATATACATATACATATATGTATATATATGTATATATACATATACATATATATATATATATATACATATATATATATATATATATATATATATATATATATATATATGTATACATACATATATATCATTACTGTCAAAAATATTGCTGTTAAAAAAACAGTTCCTCTTGCCATCTGAGTCGGAATCTCATACGTCCCAGCCTGTATTCAAACCCGGGTCCTCGGCGTATAAGGCAGATGACTTACTAGTTGGGGGGAAAACATACAAAACATATCTGGATTCAATTTTTAAATTGCAAAAAAGAGCTATTAGAATAATAAATAAAGCTGGATATAGGGAGTCCACAAACCAGTTTTTTGTAGAATCAGCTATGTTAAAATTTAAGGACATCATATATCTTAAAACTTTAGAAATGATGTATAGAGTGGTGAAAAAGAATGTTCCAATTTGTATTTTAAGTATGTTTAAATTAAGAGATGGAAAATATGATTTGAGGGGGTCTTGTGTGTTTGAAATACCTCAAGTGAGAACTAATGCTAAGTATAGATGCGTGTCGGTTTTGGAAGTGAAGTTATGGAATGGACTTAATGATGAACTGAAGATGTGTTATTCTTTATCATTTTTCAAGACATTTTTTTAAAATTGAATCTTCCAAAGTTATAGAAACTTAGTTTGATGTCTAACCTTGTGTTGATTTGATTTCTTGATTTATCATTGCTTTTTCTTTAAATATCATGCATCTCATCTGTCAGCCTTGGTTAAGGATTTGATTATGTCTGTGGGAGTTAAGGATAGGCTAATTATAAGCCACTAGGCTTCAACCTATCTATCTATCTATCTATCTATCTATCTATCTATCTATCTATCTATCTATCTATCTATCTATCTATCTATCTATCTATCTATCTATCTATCTATCTATCTATCTATCTATCTATCTATCTATCTATCTATCTATCTATCTATCTATCTATCTATCTATCTATCTATCTATCTATCTATCTATCTATCTATCTATCTATCTATCATCTCTTTGACATATTTTTTATATTTGACATATTGTATTTTTAACTGAAAATATTTCTATCACCAACTATGGTGCTAAACCCAGCAAATATTTGAACACTTGAGGACAGCTGAAATGTCGGTCGAATACTTTAAAAGTTCAGTATTTTAAAATACAAACTATTATTACATTTAATGCTATTTTTAACGACAAATAAAAGTTGAAACAACGTAATTTCTGGCCGTGAATTCCACGTTTTTCACAGCTTTGATCAAGACGTGTAAGGATGTCAGTGGACTTCTTAAAACATAGCGATATTAATTCATTATTGCTTTATTAACCATGCAAGGAAGCACAGCTTTATCATAGAGGGTCATAATGGGCTACAAATGCTCGTGTAAAGGACGTCACCTAGCGGACGTACACTTACAACGATTCACAACATTGCCATATATTGAATTAAATGTAACATATTGTCAAATAAACATAACACTAGATAACTGTACAAACATGTACAAATGTATCTAAATGGATTTTTTAGGAAATGTTCTGTTACATATTTTTTTACCAATTTAAACCGTCTTAGAGCAACGATTTTTGGCCATGGACACCATGTTGCCATCGAAACAATGTTTGATGGGTAACCTCCCCTGGAAACATATGAGCTGTTTATTTCCTCAACAACAAACAATGTCCTGGTTTATTTAGCAAAGATCAGGTAAATTAATAATAATAATAGTAATAATAATAATAATAATAATACATCAAACTTATATAGCATCCCACTCAAAGACGCTTGCATGCACTCTCACATTCACACGCTGCTAGTGATGGTAAGCTACTTTGTAGCCACAGCTGCCCTGAGGCTGTCTGACAGAGGCGAGGCTGCCATTTGGCATCGTTGGCCCCTCTGACCACAACCGACAAAGGCAAGTTAGTTACATTTGTGACTTAATATTATGTCTGTTATACTGGTAAAATACAGATTTATTGAATATGTTAATATTAAATGATCTTAAAAAATACAGGTCTATGTACATATATTTACAGCATTTAATCAAATAAAAGTTTTTCAGTTAATTTTTATTTGTGGCGTCCCTCAGGGATGTGTTTTAGGTCCACTGATAATCAGTCTGTTGCATTTGAAGCCCCATTTTTACAAGGCATAACATCTGTTTGCATCATTTTTATTAAAGGGACATTATGGAAGTCTGACAGCCAAAACATGTATAGAAATAATAAATGTCTTCTTCATACATTCTCCTGCAATGCCCTGGTCCTGTAGAATGAGCCCTGGCATTTTTACTGTGATTGCCTGTTTTTGTGTAAAATCACAGAAAAAGAGAGATGCTCGGGTCGAGCAGGCTGCTTCATGCGCGTTCACGCTCAGGCATAGCCCGTAGCATTTGCTATCTGTAGCTTTAGCAGCAGAGAGTGAGGTAGTGCCAACTCAGCGACTTTGTTGCTGTTCCTAATGCCTAGTGATGAACCTAGCTACATTTCTGAGGACCCTTAGCTACTTTCTTCTAGATATTTCCTGCAAATTAGCAATAAAATAGCCATTTTCGCTCCGAACCGTTCATTGAACGTTGTTTCAGCTGTCATCATGGATATAAATGTTACAGATACAAAATATGCCACTGATGCTATAGCTCACCTGGTAAGACGTCGGACTCTCGTGCAGAAGGACCCGGTTTAGAATCTTGATGTGAACATGATTCTATTAGAGTTTCTTTTTTACATTAATGGTATATTTTTTACAGTAAGATGCCCAAATTTTTATTTGAGACTCGCCGAACGGCATTGAATTCACAGATAAAAAAAGATGTGGGTTGAACTTTCATTTTGGAACAATTTTTCAAGCAAGGGAAGGGAATGATCTGAGCATGCAGGAGGACTGACCCATCTTAAACCTTTGTTGGCTGTGCTGAAGAGAAAGGTACAGAACCACATTATTTAATTAATTAGCTGCGTGTTCTCCTGTCCTCTGTCCTCCGGGCCGCACGCACGCACGCACGCACGCACGCACACACACACACACACACACACACACACACACACACGGGACTGTCTCAGCTGTTATTTTCGTTAAGGAGTGTGCACGTGCAGCATGCGCGCCTCGTGCACGAGTCTACTATTGAAGCTGCCATTACACTTTTGGCCTGAGGGGGCAGTCGCGAGCATAAAGATTCAAAACTCCGTAAAGTTCCTTTAAGTTATCTAAACACCATTGCCACACGGCAAATAAAAACATCTAAAAATATTCTTGTGTGAATTCAGCATCACTAAGATAAAATTCAACCTAGTAATAATACTTCCATGTGGAAGTTTTTGCTTTCATAATTGCAGTTAAAAAGATAAAATACAATAATTACATAAAATAAAATCTAAACACCATACTCCGTTAATAAAAACTCTTTAAGATAAATTGGTATCAGCAGGTCAGAGCTGAACCAGAACCAGAAATAACTATATGCCGCCAAAATCAGAATAAGTTCTTCTGGTATTTTTATTTTATTTTATGCTTTTTATTTCTGTATTTTAACATCACATTTGCCTAATATGTTAACCACTTGGTTGTTTTTGATGTGCTTCAGAAATAAACTTCATATTGACCGATGTTTAACCTTCATGATAGATGATGGATGAATATGATTCACCCCTCTAGTGTAGCCTTGTGACTGCGATGGCGAACACAGATGAGATGACTGTGTCTGTGGGGGATGTGCTGATGGTGAAGACTGATAATGAAGATGCAAATGACCCGACTAAGACTCAGGTCATCCTTCAGCTCCAGCCAATCCCTACTGGGTATGAACAGAGTCCAGGAACTACATTGTCATGTATATCAGATTAGTTGATGTTGAGGTCTGTTACAAAAACATGAAAACTCTTATTTTCCCTCAGAGATGAGTCTGCTGAAACGGATGCAGCTGTCATGGCTGTCGAAGGTCAAACAGGTAACGAGATTGTTGGAATAATCTTTCTAAAACTTGACAGATGTTTTGCAAAGGGCATTTTTATCATTGTTTTTATTTTCTCCTTTAGAACAAAGTGAAGGAGAAGATGTTGAATATGGCTGTCCCATAACATGTGGTGACTGCAAAGCTATGCTGCTTGTGAAAAAATTTGTGTGCCCAGGAATCAACGTGAAGTGTGTGAAGGTGGGCGTTCATCGCTTCTTTTTATGCCCCCAATGAAACCAAAGGGCAGATGTATTTAGCATGAGAGCAAAAAGCTGCACTCATACTGCTCTGAGTCACCTGTTGGATTTGTTTGTAAATGACTCAATTTGGTGCAATTCTTTGAACATCTTAGAAAAAAACAAACAAACAACAACAACAAAAAGAACGACAGCATGGAATTGGTGCAATTCTTTTCTTTACTATGACCATTGAGCTTTTCTAATATTGTACAACATGCCACAACACAACACAATAAAACCAACCAGCCAACTAGCTAACACAACCAACCAGTCAACCAACACAACCAGCAAGCACAACCAACTAGCTAAAACACCCAACCAACAAATACAACCATCCAGTACAACCAACCAACTAACTAACACAACCAACCAGTACAACCAACCAATTAACCAACCAACCAACCAACTAGCTAAAACAACCAACCAACCCACAAATACAACCATCCAGTACAACCAACCAACCAACCAGTACAACCAGCCAACAAATACAACCAGCCAACTAGCTAATACAACTAACCAACCAATTAGCTAATACAACCAACAAACACAATCTACTAGCTAAAACACCCAACCAACCAACACAAACAACCCACCAACCATTTCAGAACAAAACATTTAAGCACCACTGTAGAAACAGCAAAAAAAATTAAAATGCTTAAATCAGGAGCACAATATTTAATACAGATTACAACACAGGGTATGCAATTTCCTGTGAAAGAGTCTTGTCTTTAGTCCAGATCTAAACAATAATGCCAGTAGTCATGCACAGGTCAAGTGGTAGTTTGTTTCACAGCTTTGGATTTTCCATGAGCACCCCACTGGTTGTATTTCGGTCTTTCAACATGTAAATAGAATTAATTCAATTCAATTCAATTTTATTTATAAAGCACCAAATCACGACAAGAGTCGTCTCAAGGCACTTCACATAATAAACATTTCAATTCAGGTCAGTTCATTAAGCCAATCAGAAATAATGTTTCCTATATAAGGAACCCAGCAAATTGCATCAATCCTCATACTAAGCAAGCATTTAGCAACAGTGGAGAGGAAAACTCCCTTTCAACAGGAAGAAACCTCCAGAGTATCATGGCTCAGTATAAGCAGCCATCCTCCACGACTCACTGGGGATGGAGAAGACAGAGCAGGCATGCACACACGCACGCACACACATAAGTAAAGTGTCTATGGTTACATTGTGATGTCTTAGTAAATATTCTGTTTGGCGAGAGATAAACTTTATTGTATTTATCCTAGTGGATCTATAATTAAACGGGTAAACTAGTAGTAGCACATCCAACGTCAAGGAAAGTAAATAGTTATTATCAGGAGAGGGAGAATGTTTAAGTGGTTAGCAGCAGTGTGCTAGACGATGGCCCCCTCCATGAGGCCACCACAGCTCAGCAGATCATCGTTGTAGCTTCTTCTGGGGAGAAAAACACTTAGAGAGAAAATAAAGTTAACAGCTGAAGTAGCAGAAAGTAATACAGTTAAAGAGCAGATAGTAGAAGAAAGCAGTAGAGTGTGGAAAGTGGTCAGTGTATCCTCCAGCAGTCTAAGCCTATAGCAGCATAACTACAGAGATAACTCAGGATAATCTATCATATTTAGATGGAGGCATGTTGGAGTCAGAGCAAGGGAGAGTCGTCTTTATCGACTGTACACTCCACCTCCCTCTACTCCCCCACTTGTCCAGATTTAGGCTAATATCAGATTTTAACCATAGGCCCCATCAAATAAAAATGTTTTAAGCCTATTCTTAAAAGTAGACAAGGTGTCTGCCTCACGGACTAAAGCTGGGAGCTAGTTCCACAGGAGAGGAGCCTGATAACTAAAAGATCTGCCTCCCATCCTAAGTTTAGATATTCTGGGAACCACCAGTAGACCTGCAGTCTGAGAGCGAAGTGCTCGGTTAGGAACATATGGAACAATCAGATCACTGATGTATGATGGAGCTTGATTATTAAGCGCTTTATATGTGAGAAGAAGGATCTTAAAATCTATTCTGAATTTAACAGGTAGCCAATGTAGGAAAGCTAAGACAGGAGAGATATGATCTCTCTTTTTAAATCTCATCAGAACTCTAGCTGCAGCATTTTGGACAAGCTGAAGACTTTTAAATACATTCTGTGGACTCAATTAACCAAACATATTGACAAAACCTTCAACAGAAGTTACAGTATAATTTAAGCTAAAATACTAAAATAAGATAGCATAAACAGGAAGTTACAATAACACCATAACTACGCCAAGGAGGGAATGGTGTTTTGAGAATGCTTTTGTCTCTCATTTACTTATGTTTTTGGCATAATTAAGGTATTCATATAACTTCTGTTTCCGTTTACGTAAAAGCTCTGTTTTTTTAAAGGCAGAGTTCACTGAGAAACCTTTTCTACTTTTCCTTTTTGAAATATGATCAATTAGTCTTGAAAATAGTCTTCAGCCCCTGTTTGCTGCTTTAGCTGCTGATAGAAAACAGACGGGTAAACGCTCAGATTAACAAAGCCAGTCAGATCTATGTCAGGCTAAAAATGAACATTCATGGACTCGTTCATCTTGACTCATGACGGGAAAGTGCGTGTTCGTTTAGCGTCCAGGAAACCGCAGTGAATGATTCGGCTAGTAGAAGCTAACCGTTAGCATTAGCAAACCCACACCAAAGCAGAACTCCTTTCAGGCTTGTGTTACTGGTGGAGATGTAACATCAACGTTGCAGAGCAAACTGAGTCAATAGTAGAGTCACATTGTTGTTATCCAATCAGAGGAGAGATGTCCAAATTTCAGGAAATAAGGTTCCAAATTCTGCCGCGTTTTTCTCAAGTCTCCTCTAGCTCACTTCTATAGCTCCTGAATCAGGAGCACCAGAGCATTTTCCTAGGAGAGATCAGCTCACAAGACATTCATTTATACTAGAGACCACTGAAGATGTGCTGAAAACAACCCTAGCCCTTGGTCTTTAAAAAAAAAAAAAATCTAAAGCTTAATGTCAACCACACACTCAAAAATAACAAAGCCAACTAATAAAATAAATAAAAGCTTCTATTCTACATGAGAAACGTAATCTGGACTATTCTACTATTGTCATCATTTAATGTGTGGTTCTTTTTCTCACATATACTCTTTATTCATTTACTTATTAACTTGTAGAGCTCTCCTCTTTAGTATGAAGACCAGCTGATCAGCCCGAAGCAGTTTGTGCACATGTCAGGAAAAGCCACTCTAAAAGACTGGAAGAGAGCCATCCGGATGGGGGGAGTCATGCTGAGGTGAGAGGATTCACTTTGGGAATCACTGAATCGAATCCGTGTTCTCTCTGTCTGGGAGAACCAGATGCTTCTAAAACTGGTTCCAATATGTTCTAATGAGAGCCTCTTCAACCTAATTTCTTCTCTCCAGGAAGATGATGGATTCGGGTCAGCTGGACTTCTACCAGCACAGCACACTTTGTACCAACACGTGTCGCAGCACCAAGTTTGACCTTTTAATAAACAACACTCGCTTCCCCCCGGACGGCACCGGCCTCACGACAGCCGTGTCCTCTCAGGGTGAGAATGAAGAAAAGGTGTTGCTTTATTCACAAAACACGGCTTATTCAGCCCAAATAAGCTTATTGAAAAGGCCAAACAAATGGAGATTTACTTAAATATTAAATCTTGAATTTTTTCAGTTTCCATGGGGAGGGCCTTACCCTCCGAGGTCTGGAGGGTGTCTTAAAAATAATAAACATTCCCAGTTATCTTAAAAATTAATTGACAAATTTTAAATATTATTTATTTTAAAGGACTCTAAAATAACAGCAATGCAGAATCAAACAATTATAAAATTTTACATTTCATGAATCTAAGTTTTCCGGGAAAACTAAATAAATCCGTCGAGACGAAAATCCCCACGTTTTTATCTTTATTTTTGTCATGTTTATATAAAAACTAAATTTATTTCAGCTCTAATTTTAACAAGTTACTGTTGATTCTGGGGCTTTATCAGCAGATTTCGCTCCTCCGTGACAAAAACATGTTAATGTAACTAACCAGGAGACACTTCAGATGCAAAATGCTTGAATTAATTGGAAAATGAACCTGCTGCTGTAATTCTTGGCATTAAAAAAGCAATTGAAGCATTTTATCAAACCTTCTGTTGTACAAGCTTAAACGTGTTTGGCACAGCTAGTGGGCTAACAGTAAATTGTGCTGAATGAGCTGGAATGAAAGCCTTAAGTCTGGACAGATGGGACTTTTACTGCTCGAAATAAACGTACAGCTCTAACCCTCAGCTCCGTTGTTGAGTAATAAATGTGTTAACAACCTTTGTAAACCGTTCTGAACTAGCAGCAGTGTTTTCCTATTTACTGTTCGACAGCCTCTCGCTCTCCCTCGTCTACAGCCGCGGTCAAATGTGAGAAAGACGTAAATATTAATGATCGCAGAGATGGCCTCCTCCATCTTTATGGCAGTTTCATAAACTCTAGAAGGTTTTGAAGAGCGATCTGGTGAATTAAAGGTAATAAAAAAAGAGGATCTTTGTCTTAAAAATAAACTTGGCATAAAAAAGAAACATTTTCAGAATCAACTTTATTGTCAGTGCCCCAGAGTCCTGAAGCAGAGAAATGTGTCTCCGCAGCACAGCCTGACCAACGTTACACTCACAAAACATGTAGAACCAAACAGATACAGGCAGACCAGTTGGATAGAAATGGGTTACATCAGGATAAATGAGGGGAGGGGAAAAAAGTCATTTCAGATTTACTCGTGACAGGAGGTAGCTTTGCTGTGCAAAAAATAAATAAATAAATACGGCATTTGTGAAGAAAGCTAGCCCAGAAATCGAGACGGACCGTAGCAGTAGCAAAAGATTTTTCCCTGCAGGCCGGTCTAGCCGTGCTCTGTTGTAGCCTCGGCTGAGCTTAGGTCTGGCCAATCACAGCACTCTTATGTGTGTAAAGGGATGTTGGCGGGGCTGAACACTAGAGCGGTAATGGAGAAAAACTACAAAGATAGCGTCGACTCACGGACGGTGCTCATTTGAAATGGCTTTGGCACCAACTTTGGACGATTTAGGCGTGGGCTTTTCTTTGAGACGTGAGCAGATGGAGGTACTTCTCCTTTCCCGGTGACTGATTTCCATCCCTATGAATGTCATGTTTTTGTTGCTCTGATTGGTCCTAGCACTGTTCATTTGCTACCCCCTGTCAGGAGTAACTCTGGAATGCCTTTATTCCCCACCCCCTGTATTTTCCTCATGTTACCCATATACCCTGTATATGGGAGCACGAGGTATGCACATGCCCACAGTCCAGCCCAATTCTGGTATGTTGTGTCTTGTCTTCTTATTGTTCTGTAAAATCTTGGATGGGTTGTTCTGAAATTGTAATGTCATTGTACTGGGACGCTGGTACAATGACAGATCCTTGATTCCTTGAAAACACAACCATGAACAGAGGGTACCAAACCATCCTCCCAGAGGAACTCCTCCCAACCATCTCAGAGTTTGGTGATGAATGTCTTCTGCAGCGTGATAAGAGTATCGGTCTAAGGCCATTGGGTCACGAGTATGTTGACTGAACTGTCGATAAAAGCATTTGAAACTTGTGACATTTCACTTCAGTAACCATTGAATCGTTAAACAATAAAGCAGCTGCCATCTTTGTGAAAACTGTCATGGCTGTATGTTCATCGCTGTAAATCACAGCATTCTGTTTGTTTTCTTTTTGGTAACCTCTAGCTCAGGCCACCCTGGGTAACGGCGGGACAGCGTCTGAGGATCGAGTCGAGGTTCTGGGTGGGAAGTCGGACTGGGGGTCGAGTTCATTAGATTCTGCGGACAAAGGATCCAGTGAGATCTCAGGTATCAGGGCGCACCCAAACACAGATCATCATAGTCTTGTGTGTGTACTAAACACTCATCCCTGCACCGCCTTGTCCATAGAGGACACACTGAACTTCTGGAAGGGCATTGCAGACGTGGGCTTACTGGGGGAAGTGGTGACCAACATCAGCACGGAGCTGATGCAGATGCTGAACGGCATGCTGCAGCGCAAAGAGCAGAGCACTATACAGGATGCAGGTATGGAAGCAGGTCAGCTGCAATGGCTGCTGGGTACTAAAGCATGTACAGTGACTAGGGAGCTAACTCGGCTATTCCAGAAGCTGAGTGAGGAAAGGAAAATCATGTTTTCATGCTCTCATTGACTGTGTACACCAGCTGAATGAGTGACGTTGTAACTGGTTACCACACTGATCCCAGATTCCTGTCTGGTAGAGGTGGCCGTGCTCAGCAACCTCGCCCAAGTTTTCGGCCTTCTGGACTCAGTCAAGAAGATTCTGGAGAAGAGGAGGCAGCAGATGGATCCCAGTCAGGAGCAGATCCTCTCAAGTGAGTGCCTGACCTGTAGGAGCTCAGACACGGAGCCGAGCACGTCTTTATTGATGCAGGAACTGAAAGCGTGTTCATAATCAACGAGAAGCAGATGGAGATGCAAACAGGAGCTAAAGATACTTGGCCTGTGTGTCTTTGCAGACGACTCCACCATCTGTTTGCTCGCATTTACAAACCTTTGAATTTCTGTGGTGCAGTAATCAGAGGAGTAAAATTGGATCAAAGCTGTTTTGTTTATCCGACGCAGCCGCCAGCTTTCTGCTAGCTACAGACACGATAAGGTGATGAAGTACAGCTGATCACCAGGTACCGGTGGGGGAACTCATCCAGTTTCCTTTTACGTCTCTAAGCTTCTATCGTTCTTTGAAGGAATGCATATCATCACATCATCTCATGCTGAGAAACGGTGGAGTTACGTAACCCAGTGAATTAAAATAATGTTTATTCTGATATTCTTACGTCTTTCTTCACATTCTGATCATTACTGTGGTCCTGTTTATTATGTGGCATTATACTGATTTCACTGGGCAGCAGTGATGAGGTCGGCCTTGGTCTCCACATGTCTCCTGATGAATATAGATACCAGAGATCAATGTTACACCACCTAAAGTACCATCTTGTTTTTTTTTTTTGTAGACCTGGAAGCTCAGTTGGAAGAGCAGCAGAAGCAGCAGCAGGTGCGAGCCCTTCTCTCCAGCCCACAGGCTCCTAAAAACAAAAGCACCACCAAGCGACCAAACAAGCGGCCTCGCCTCCAGAGGCCCGCCTCCACCACCACCCTCTTGACATCTCCCGTCAGCCAGCAGGCGGCGCTGCAGCCCCAACAGTTCACAGTCCTGTCCCCAATCTCACTGTCCTCTGTGGGGCAGCCGTTCACCGTGGCGGGGCTGCCCATCGGCTCTCTGGCCCAGTCCTCCAACACGGTCACCCTGCTTCCTGCTGGGTCGCAGCTCTTCACTCGCTACATGGTCGCGGGAGATGGAAAGACTGACACCATCACCTTACACCCGTCCTCTGGTCTCACGCTGCTTGGCACCACCGCCGTGCAGGACTCCAGCCAGCTGGGGACAGTGGTGAGCCCCATGGAGCTGGTACACCTGAGCCAACAGGCCAGCGGGGCCGAGGTGGTGCCTATAGAGGGCCAGGTGGTGGACAGAGCCATGCTGGTACAGCAGGAAGTGATGCCGGCCGAGCTGGAGGCGAGCCAGGAGCACACGGTCATTGAAATCAACCCGACGCCCGTGGAGCAAACAGTGGGGGTGATGGAGCTGCAGCTGGCCGCGGAGCCGGGCAGGGATCAGACCACTATGATGGTCCAGAGTGGGATGAAGGTGACAATGGCGGCAGAGACAATGGACACACAGTGCCAAATGCAAGAGGCGCAGACTGAAGGGGTTCAGGGGCTGCAGCTGGACGCCAGCGGACAGTTATCCAACGTGCAGATCTTGGTGATAGAAGAAAACAATCAGGAAGAAAACAAGTCCAAATGAGGCTCTAGAAAACCACAAATTCAGCATCACTGTAAATATGCCCAACTCAAACCTACACCAACACTATGGTGGCTGCTTGTGCATACGCTCTACCTTTCACCCAAACACTTAACAGCCACAGCCCCCTGAGTATTTATGTGTTTCAGCCCTGAGGGGGGAGTTCCTGGTTTAGAACATCAGGGTTCTTGGTTTAGTTGTTTTAGACCCGAGTTTGTTGGCTAGTTTCTAAACCCAAACAGGAAGTTATGAAGCATCTACACGTCCCCGCTCAGCAGGAACCACAAACCAGCCTCTGCCTTTTCATGTGGTGAGCTCATAAATGGTTCTGCAGCAAACAGGAACACAGTTGTGATGGATGGTGAACTCCGTAACTCGTGCTGCACTCCGTGTTTCAGGATGACATGAACATTTCCTCAGACCTGAGCTGAGTGGCTTTTCTGCACAGATGAAACAAAGTTCACTGGAAATGCTTTAGCACCAGCGGTTTTATCCCTCCCTCCCCCGATGCTTTTTTTTCTCTGCTTCGTGATAATGCAAGCTCACAGCTTGTCTAACTGATTCATAAGAAAATACGTGCTTAATGTCCAAACTTGCCTGCTATTTTCACATGTAAAGTAGCGACATATTTATTAGTTTTCAAACTCGAGGTGGGCCTGGGTGATGAGCAAATGTAGAATAATTTAACTTGTTTGTTACAGCGCACACTGACAAAGACCTATTCAATTATTTAATTTAACAAATGAGAGTGTTTGCAAACAGAATTTGTAATGTGTTTTAATATTAAACTGTTAAAAGAAACAAAGGATCAGGTGTTGAGTCTGTGTTTCACCAGCAGAGGGAGCCACGAGTCCACACCTAAACTGGACCTACAACTGTACAACCCCCACCCCAGGGCTTTCCACCATTTTTCCAATTGTATTTGTCTTCATAAGCAATGAATAAAAATGGAGGCCGAAAAGGATGAACCTCAAAAGCTATGATCTACATCCCAAAGGTGATCCACTGCTGCAGACTGACGTGCAAACTAAAGAGAAAGGATGGGATGGAGTACAGAGGCCAGCAAGGCTCGTGTGCTGTTAGCGTCCCATTAGCTGTGAGAGCTTAACTGGTATTGAGCCACAGTTACATTTAAATGTGTTTTTGTAGAGGCATTATTGGCCTAAAATTATTATGGGATACTATTGAATTTGAAACGTAATTTGTAAATTATCAGTATTGGTTTTTTATTACATTTAAGTTTTACATATCAGGCACTTATTATACATCAAACTCAGCTACTTCAACTTTTACTCTAAATGTCAAAATATGACTGACCCAAGGTAGTTTTAGAGATATTTGGGTGGTTTGGCAAACCTCGCAAAATAGCCTGTGGCGGCATTTCGGAGCCACTTTTAAATGTTTAGGTTGATGACATCATCAAACTGCGTCGTCGCTTTCAGCATAACAAGCTTGTACTGTATGTGGACCTGCCAACATGTCATGGCATTTTTTTCCATTGCTCAACACAAACTGAAGTAGTTGTCATAATTTGCACAGATGATGTTAAAGTAGGTCAACGTGACTGAAAACAAAGTTTAAATGATTATTTCTGATGATAATCAGTGACTCTGGGTTTTTCATGCAGGCTGAACATGAAAATAGTCTCCTACACCTATCTCCTGCATCAGATTCTGATAGAAAATGGATGGCGAAACGCTAGGATTTGAAAAGTCTAATAATGTGACATCACACTGTCACTTAACGTTCCTGGACTTATCCATTTTGACTTGTGACGGTGAAGGCTGTTGTTGGTCTAGGAAACAGCAGAGGATGTATCAGCTAGTAGAAGCTAATAGTTAGCATTAGCAACTCCACGACATGGCTGAAATCCTCCAAGGTGCTTCTTAGAAACATAACACCAACATTGCAATAGTGGTAGAGTCGCGTTGTTGTTATCCAATCCTAGGTGAGATGCCCAAATATCAGAAAATAAAGACTCCAAATCCTGCCGTCTAAAGCTCAGCGGGTTGTGGCGGCAAATCAACACTGCAAATATGTTGATTAAGCAGGTGTTCCACATCTTTGAAACATTTGTTTCATAAAAACAGAAATTCAAAAGCAACAAGTACTCTGCTAAAACACAATTACAAAATGATCTGATCCTAAAGTAACTCCATACATTTTGTGCTCTTTGAATGTTCAAACTGTTCCAGTGTTTAATGAAAACTAGTAATGGCACGAAACTTGATAACTTGATAATTTCCTCATCCTAGAGACACTTCCTGTCATATACAGTTTAATGATGTAATAGTGACTGTGTTTCAGCTCGGGCTGCGAGATCACAGGTGCTGGGTACCTGGGGATACGAGCGAGGCAGGTGCCACTGGAATCTCAAGAGTAAAAACACAAATCGAACTCTAGCTGGTGTAGTCTGTGAAAACCTCTTTTAACGTGATTTAAAAACTAAAAATCTTTGGTTGAGGAATTCCCAGAGCCTCGCCCCTCAGGGTTTTTGTAGAGAATTTCAAGGGTAGTTTCAGGGTTTTAATGAAATATTTTTAAAGCATTTCCATCTGTTGAGTGTTGGAGTGAGAATAAGATAGTGAAGAGGTTTGCTCACATTGGAATGACTATTAATTATTTACAACAATGTGGCAGGGATATAAAAGGCTAACGTGGAAGGATGCAGCCATAGGAAATTGTCAACAGTAAGCCAATCTAAATTTAAAAATGAGAGAATGTGAAGTTAAACGTTAGATCTCTGACTTTCAAAAGTATTTATATGCATGGATCATGAGTTTTGGATCAGTGCTTTAAAGTTGGGTTATGTTGTTTAAACAAAAAAATGAATTGCTTAAATCTGTTCTATGATATAAAGGAGGTAATATGATTTCATAAAATATGATTGCCTTAAGCCCCTCCCATGAACTCTACAGCCAAACATGAGCTTAAATCGCTGACCAATAGAGTCCATTAGAGGGAGCTGTCAATCAACAAGAATGTGCCACAGTTCCCAGTATGTACTGCAGGGTGATGCGGATGCATTTCAGTCATCCTAGCACATAGACGTGAATGTATGATGTCTGTGGCTTAGCACACAACCTAGCTTGAATGCTAACTCGACCTGAACTGAGTTAATGTCAGTCTGTAATCTTCAAGCTAACTGAAATGGGAAGAAGGAACAAAAAGTGATCGTGTACTGGAGCATTAGTGTATGGTTTAACCTTACACTACTTTGTTTCGTTGTTTAGCCTGTTGCAGCCATAGACTGTACATCTCTTTTACTTCACAGCGAAGTATTTTCTAACTACAAATCCCATTGCACCTTCAAAGCACTTATTGGAATGTCTCCTCATGGTGCTCTTACTTTTGTATCTGCACTGTTTGAGGGTTCCATTAGTGATAAAGAACTATTCCATCATAGGGGTATAATCCCCCTTCTAACATCAGAGATGGACCTCATGGTGGACAAAGGATTCCTCATCGATGAGCTGGTGCCTGGGAACGTTCACCGACCGGCATTCATGTCCACGCAGGCACAGATGCCTGAGGTTGATGTTCTCACGACAATCTGTTGCACGCCTTAGAGTCCATGTGGAGAGGCTCATAAGAAGAGTCAAAGAAAACAAGCTTTTTGACACGGTCCTCCCTCTTTCCATTTCAGGAAGCATAAATCAAATATTTACAGTGTCTCCTCACAAATGATCAGTATGGTCGTCTAGTTAAAAAATGGACATAAAAACAACTGAAAACGGTTCAGTGGACTTATAAAAGCAGCCAGCAGCACACCTTTTAGAAATTTTATGTGTACAAAGTTAAAAAAAAAATATTAATTTCTACTCTTTACTTTGAGTGGAAAGAATCCATGTTAAGTATATGCATGTTTTCACTATCAAAACTACAGGGTAATTTGACAGGATCTTTTTTTATTTTTATTTTTATTTATTTTTTGGATCATTTTATGGTCCCAGTCCTAAGGATTGCGTCTCCGTTAAAACCATCTCCTTAAAGGACCCAGCTGAAAGCAGCGTCACTAATCGGCACTAAAAAGCACTCAGAGATCAGTAGCAGGGGTGGCTGCTTCCACCACAGCAACAGCTGTAGTTACAGAGAAACACCGGCCAGGAGTGGCTGGTGTTCTTCTGAGTTTATTTTAACTTCTTTGTTTCACTTTTTTAAACTGTTTCTCCACCAACTCTTCTTACATTATAAAGCCTCATGTGTGGCGATGTCTGCTGATTTCACTCTGGTGACATTGTTACGTTTGCTTGTGTAATTGCAGATGCAGTTCTTGTAATCTGTGTGCTTTTCTGCTATGTAGTACTTTTACTTCAGTACAATTTGTGTAGTCTTTGTATTTGTATCTTTGTAATTTGCATTGTCTACCACCATTCATTTCTAATCTCTGCATATCTCTGTAAGTTTGCAGGGCATTTTGTTTTTTGAAATGGGTATGTAGCTGTTGTTTCCTTTGATTTTTGATAACCATAAATGTATAAACTAGAAGTACAGAATGGTGTACAACTGGAAAATGAATTATAATTTTCAAAAGTCCACACTTTATTACCATTGATGCACATCATTTTCATTTTATTTCACAGTACACCAGCTGCTTCAACTTACCATTTACCATTGTTACAACAGAAAAAATATAAAAGAACACAATTAGAGATTTAAAGTATCTTAAGTGCTGCAGTACGTCATTACAAACAACGACACTCTTAAATGTTGACATTCAATTTTAAATGACCACCATGTTTAGCTGAAGAGGTAAACATGGTAAACAGGCTCTTGTCGTTCAAGAGCCTGTGGATTGGTTTTGTACACTGTGTAGAGAATCAAATCTATTCCAAACATTTGTCAATGTAGACATCAAAGTAAAAACTATCTACTTTCTGTTCGATTGTATTAATGATACTGACATCTCTGTAGATCCTCTGGATGAACATATTCTCTTGTGCTGAGACCACAAAGTCACACCAGGTCATCCCTGTTATTAGCAGTTGACCCTGCACCTGCCAGTAATAGGAATGAGTTTGTTTCAGCTGTACTGTGCCACTGATTGCCTTGAGATAAGGATAGCCCACATAACTATGTACATTTGGACACTTGATCTCAACCAGTCCAAACTGCGGGTCTTCTGTAGGGTCAAATACCTTCCCATCTGGAGATGCGCCAAGCTATGGTGCATCTGGGTGCACAACAAAACCACATTTGTAGTGGTTTAGGCGTTTGGCCTGGCAGTACTCCCAAATGCCATCTGCCTCCATCTCCAAGCCCGTCTTCATTGCTGCTGTTTGGTGGGTGCCGCTTAAAAGGCGTTTTGCCAGCCCCTCCTTAAACGCCTCACCCACCTGGCATATTTCTCTAAAACGAGATGCTGTTACTCTGGGTCATCTCAAGGTATGCCAGTCATTACATAGACTCTGCTCCTGGGTGCCTTCTTCTATCTAGCGAGACATTTCCCAGGCCACTTCCAGACTTTGTAGGTGGAGCTGTTGTTTTCTACTGCACACAAACATGCACTCTGAGGGTCCCAGACTATAGTCATCTAGTGGCAACAGTGGAGGTGGTGGAGCTTGATGAAATTGTTTAGTATCAACTTTTGCGAGTTGTTGATACGAAAGCGCACTACCCATTTGTACTTTGCCAAAAACAGAGTTCATTTAAGGGATGTCTTTAGTGATTCCCATGCTGCACACCATGGGAAGATTGTCAGGTTGGAAATCCTTGTAGGCCTCAGACAGGTTGAGGACAGAGAGATCAGGAAGCTCTCCTTGGACACCTTTGTAGCGTTTGCTTCTGGGCATAAAAAAAAAAGATTAT